AAAAAAACGGACTTAGTAGGGGTGGGTGCTTACCAAAATGCCACGATATGTGAAACGAGCCTCTCCGACCGCCGGTTTTCATTGGAAATCTTGAATTTTTGAAGGGATATCGTTTCATCGTGAAAAGAAGATTAGTCAAGAGGCTGTATTAGGTATTGGGCAAAGATTTTTTGAAAGTCTTTTGACGTGACAAGTGATTCTGACTGAACCAGGAGCGATTTTGCGAGATTTTTTTGAGCTTGGCCAGCGGACTACTGTGCAACCTTTACTAAATTTAAGTAACTTACGGAGGTACGTTACAAAATACCAAAAAAACTCGCTAAATAGTCGTCCAAATGACCTGAAACTTCACACGAAGAGCAAGGACAATAAAAGAGACAACGTAGGATGTTTTTTTAATTTTTTTTTACATTTTCATCAAATTCAGCTAAAAGCCGCCTATTGTAGAGCTTGGGCTACTGTGATTCCTCCAGCTTTTCCGGCGTCAGCATACCGCTGACTTTAGCCGTGAAGACTCTGGGCTCGAGATTGGTTCATTCTTTTCTTTCTCTCAAGCAATAGTTGGGTAGCCTGTGGTAAGGCAGGGTGCCATTTCGTGCCGTTTTCTACTCTTCCACAGTCCCCTGCTCGGTCTTGGCTCGACTTCTCTGTGCAAGCCGTTTCGACCCAGGAGGCTTTTCCGACTATAAATTACGAAAAGAGAGTCGATTGGTTTCCGAAGATCAAGCAAAACAAAACGTGACCATGGGAAAGTTTTCGGGGTTGTTTTGCAAACGATTTATCTCGTTATTAAAGTCTGAATCTAACCTTAAAGTAGGGCAATATTACTGTAATAGACATTGCTTTACAAAGAAGACTTTCAAGGTGGGAGAAAAGGCACAAATTTTACGAGTTTTCAAACAGAGTGATGTGAACACGTTTGCAGAGCTGACAGGAGACAGGAATCCCATCCACACAGACAACGAGTTTGCAGGGAATGGACGGTTTGCAGGTTGTGTTGTTCATGGAGTGCTAGTAAATGGGTAATTATTGGATAATTCAAAGAAAAGTGTTATCGTGTGGCATCATTTAACCTGTGAAACAGTTTATTCAAAGTGATCTATTTTTTTAATCCAAAATTTATTGTSATGACGGATTTTAGTCCAATTGGAGACTCGGCATCAATGGAAAATCCAAGGGAGTGGGGTCAAAATAACCAAAAGAAATCAGTGGAAATATTATAGTCAAAGCAGGGTCCAAAGTATTGAGAAACCATTGGGAGTTGGGGAATTAAAAAATCTGGGGTGCAGCTATATTATGAAAAACTATTGAGTGATACCATGGATAATAAAAGCACAGTGCTTTTATTATCCATGGTGATACACCAGTTAGAACAAAAGAAAACAAATCAAATAATGCCTCTTAGCTGGTGCTCTACTATTTCACATCTTAAAGGCCCAGTTTGCACTATTATGCTTTGTGCGCCTCTGTTATTGTTATGATTTACACCAAAATACTTTTAGTATCCAAATATCACTATAACACGAATTTCAGATAGTTGAAAACTCTTATAGCGTTTAAAGTGCTTAATTAGAAAAGTGAGATGGTCAAAGATTCAAAGCACAGTACAGTACAATTTATAGACTTTCGGTAAACTGAAAATGGCCGCCTCCCAGCCCTTGTGGTCCCCAAAGCATAATGGTGCACACTGGGCCTTTAAATACAGCGTCACTCTATTACTTATTGTCTCCTAACAGTCATTTTTATGACTTACGTGTGCCCTGGTCTTTTTTGTTCAATCACATTTTGGTGTCGCCACCTGTACTTATTGGGGATCGCTCATTTTTTATCTGGAGGGGGTAGCCACCAAATCAAAAAYCATGTTAGAGGGGGGCATTCAAAATTATTGTCCTATATTACTTGTATATTCATTATACAGCATTACACTGTATTTCTTAAAAAATCAAAAGAGTGGGGGTTGCGCCTAAGAGGTGCAAGAGTCTCAATCCTGTGGGCCATTTGAAAAAAAAATCAGGTAAAAAATTAGCGGTCCCTGTATCTATTAGAGTACAGATGCACACCGAACTGAACTAGGACTGCATGTGGCTAGTGCTAGCTAGATATATATTCATGTGAGTTTTTGTTTTGGCAGAATTTTTTTTTATTTTCTGTCGAAAGTTAGGTTCGTTGCGAATCAACAGAATAATGGGGTTCCTGTGGAAGTCAATAGAGCATGCGCAAAACGTTTCGCTTGCGTACTCGGTGTTTTTAGATCAAATTTCCTGATTTATCGCTCAATAATACATCAAAAATACAATGTTAAGGCTGTAAAACAGTTAGAGTAAGATAAGAAGTAAGGCGTGCACTAGCAGATGTCCAGTGTAATTTTTGGAATAGGCTGCTCTACCCAGCTATAAAACTCGTGTCGGCTTTAATAGCCAACGTCCTGGTTAAATCAAGACTTCTTATTACCCGGCTTACTAAATTAATAGTTCTATCACTCCGGAAGTCAAGTGATYCCATGAKATAGCACAGCGCATACGCAAGTCATTGCACGTTTGCGTTTGACGCGAGTTGTTCTTAATTTTATTGCTCTTCAAGTTTACTATTCTATTCATTGGTTTTTGGACTAATCTAACGTGGTTTGATTCTTCAAGAAGTCCAAATTGGAATCAACGTAGTTGATTACCCTGTTGATACCAGAGTGGTACATTGCTGGACTTGTCTAACGTGGTTAGACTTGCAAGAGGTCCAGGGGTCTCAACGTGGTTGGACTCTTATACAATTTTGATAGGTTCTAACCCGTAGTTAGATACCGAATACAGGACATGGGTGACGARTCTGGCAGTGGAAGCCCCGACATAATTGGTGGGTTGCATGTGACGTCATACTCAAGCAAAAAATATCGAAAAATCCAAGATATTTTTTCTAAAGAGCTCTTCTTGCAGTATATCTTAAATATACGTCTAAATAGTGTGTATGCAAATTTTMATRCGAATTCAACGCTTTGGTGGCGAAACACAAAAGTTTTAGTTTGTGCGGAGTTTAATTTATTCTACCGTAGATCGTAAATAAAAACTTCAGATAAATCATTCTTTCAACTGCGTAAGAACTTACTTAAGGTGATTTTTCTTTGAAATAAAGTCATAATTGACCAAAATTTACAATGGAAACCACTTTTTAAAGTTAATTTGAAATCAGACGCCATCTTGGATGATCAAAGTTATCATCCAAGATGGCGTTCCCATACATATTAACCAAATTTTTCAAATCTTTATTCGCTTATATCTTCATCGAAAAGTAAGCTACAGGACTAAAAGCTCGTATTCTAGATAATTTGACTATGCTCTTTATGACTTGCTACTTGGTTTTTGAAAATACGGAATGATAACGAATGATAAATTTTCAGTTCGGGGGTTGCAACCCAAGAATAGCGGAAGACGCGGGAGCCATTGACCCCAGCATCAATGGTATGTTTGCCGCGCTCTTGACGCAAATGAATACGATGAATCAAAACTTCGCTTCCTTCGGCTCAAGAGATGCAGAGACCGAGAGCGACCATGATGAGGCCTCTAGTCAGGGCGATGCTCCTGAAGAAATCGATGGAAGTGGCGATGCAGCAGACGAAGCACTTCAGAAGCTTGTCAAAAATCAAGCGTCRCCCGAGCCTGACGTTTTACAAGCCATTGCGGCTGATCTCAACGTAAATGAGAAAACTGATCCTGCTATAAATGATGGAMTAGCAGATATCTTCAATACTTTGTTAAAGTCAAAAATGAGCGAAGAGAAGCTCAAAGAGAAGCTTGAAAAATACGTTCGACCGGACAATGTCACGCACTTACGAGTTCCTAAAGTTAACCATCTGATCTGGAAACAACTCTCGTTTGGTTCGAGGTCACAAGATTCCAAAGTACAGAGTTCACAAGGGATTTTGCTGGGATCCGCTATCGCATCCATCAAAGCGGCTGATGTGGTGATGAAAAAATACCCAAATGATAGCGAACTACTGAAATTGGTCACCRACAGCGTGGGCATGACGTTACAACATAATCACGATGTTAACCAGTCGAGACGAATGGCGTTAAAGAAAGAGCTACATAAGGACTATGCGTCCCTTTGTAATGTCAACCCTGCCGAGGAAGGAAATTCAGAATTTCTATTTGGTGATTTAACCAAAGCAACTAAAGACATTGCCGAAGCAAACAAGCTCAAAAGAAAGTTCGCCCTACTAGTAGCAGTGCGCGTAGTCATGGTGGTCACCGAAACTACTCCGGCGCCAAGGGAAACCGTCGTTTCCAGCACTATGGCAGGTACAAAAGTGGGTCTTTTTTAGACCGCAGCCATCCCTCAAAGTTCAAAAAGAAAAAGGAGGGAACGAGCAATCAACGCCAATAAAGGTATGCCCTAATGTCAACATTTGTTCTGATATCGAACATGACATTTTACCGCATTTGCTTGACCCCGCTTTGTTCACTGATGAATGGTCTCAGATAACTTAATGACACAACAATACTTAACATTGTGAAAGGAGTTGAAATTGAAATGATTGACATTAATGACATGATCCCTCAGCCGCACGATCGACCGAGCGTGTTTAACAACAATGAACGTCTTATTGTTGAACAGGAAATTAACCCTAACCCTATGGAAACAGTCAAAGAACCTGATGACTTTGTATCGACGATATTTTTGAGACCTAAGAAGGACGGAACGCATCGTATGATTCTCAATCTAAAACAGTTTAACCAACACGTTGTATATCGTCATTTTAAGATGGACACGCTAGAACATGCGGTRCAACTTATGAAACCTGGTTGTTTTATGGCGTCGGTAGACTTGAAAGACCCTTTACTTTACACAGTGCCTATTTATAACGCTCACCATTTCTTAAAAAATTTCTTAAATTCTGGTTTGATGGTAAATTTTACAAATATACATGGGTTTGGCAAGCGCTCCGTGTTTATTCACTAAGCTACTAAAACCAGGTTACTCAATCTTGCGAGGSAGGGGACATTATTTGCAAGGCGACACTGTTGAATGCTATAACAATGTTATTGACACTGTGAAGATGCTTTCGTCACTAAAAGGTTCTGCGTGCATCCTGATAAATCAGTGTTTCAACCCACGCAACAATTAGTCTTTTTAGGCTTTATTTTGGATTCAGTGGCAATGGCAGTTACGCCAACTAATGAAAAGAAAGACAAAATCACATTTGTTCTTCAATACTGTCTAACCCTAGCCCTACTATAAAAGAGGTTGCTGGACTTATAGGAACATTAGTCTCGAATTATCCAGGTGCTGAATTTGGGCCCTTGCACTACAGATGTCTTGAAAGAGATAAATACCACGCGCTYGTGTTAGCGAGAGGGCACTATGAAAGCAGTATGCAATTATCAAATGAAGCAATYACAGAAATTAAATGGTGGTTAGAAAACTCGCAGCACTTAAAACGAGACATTGTGCGAAATAACCCGGATATCGTACTAAAATCAGATGGGAGGGCGATGGATGCCTTCCGAAGCTAAGTTGCATATCAACGTATTAAAGCGGCTTTCTTTGCATTGAAATGTTTTTGCTCAAATTCGAAAAACCGACTTGTGCGCGTTTTTATTGATAACACCACAGCAGTTTCTTATATTAACAATATGGGAGGATCTAAATCCCCTCTTCTTAACTCTCTGGCTACCAAAGTGTGGCAATGGTGTATTGTTCAGAATTTGTGGATTTCGGCTGTACATATCGCAGGAAAGCTTAATGTTGAAGCCGATGAAAAATCACATAAATTCAATGATAGGCATGAGTGGCGGCTTAATGAGCAATGCTTTAACGAGATCATGGAATTATACCCGTCACTTAACGTTAAAATAAAGTCTTTTATTTTGAGAGGGTAGCACGTAATAGTCTCTAGWCTAATAARCYTGTGGCCCTCTATATATTCACTCATACTCACTACCTCAACATTCATTATTTTACTACACGACACTCCTCACAGCTAGTTTTTAACTCGAAGATTGCGAAGCAATCGAAGAGTTATTGGAGGGGG